TCCTTCACTTAGTTTCCTTCTTAGATCCTAAATGAGGTGGTCTCAAAAGTCACAGTTACAACACACATAGGGCGCACCGCACATTTTGAGGGGAAAAAAAGACGTTTATGTGCGCCTTATAGTCGTGAAAATACGGTAACCTGGGTGACAATATTTCCTCAATAAAGGAAGAGAAACTAAAAGGAAACAAACATGTCAGGTGATTGTTAGCCAAAAAAAAAACAAAAACAAACTACAAAGCAAAAGAATCTAACACAGAGGACAAAACTGGGAGATGCAAAACATTGTAATTCTACATGTATCAGGATTTCAAGAAACTGATGGATTTTTTTTAAGGGAGGACTATTCGGAGTCCTGTATTGGAGAAACCAACCAGTAAACACATAGCACAGCACAGTACAGGAGAGCCTGTAGCTCTGGACAAGATTCAGTTGTACTCTTTTATCTAAACAACAAAGGAAAGATATTTGATTAACAAAATGTTCACATTTTGGACAAAGAGGACAGATTGTTTAAAAGTGGGATAAGGAAGCACTCTTTGTTTAAAAGGGAAAAGCAATCACTGAACAAGTTGGAAGACTGCATGGTCCGCTTCTAAGCATCTACAAATCGGTCCTGTCCCTCATTCCAAAGACATTACATTAATACTTTCATCAGATTCAAATGGCAAAAACTCTTAAGCTGCACAAAACAAAAAACTTCAACAAGGAAGGAGAATGATGGGTCGAGGCTTAGGAGGATGGACCTCCATTCTGCTTAAAAATATCAGTGCTCCAGCTACAGCTTGCTGTAGTGTGAGTTGATGTAATTGAAGAAGAATTAGTTGTTTTTGGTTGCCATGACCTAGATGACTGAAAATGTACAGAGGCATGATATGACAGGTAAAGGTAAATGGTTGAAAACCATACCATTTAAACAAAAAAACATTTTGATGATCTTCTTTAGCAATATTTTGTAGACTGCTGGAAAATGTGTAACTATCAGTTTTGTGATCTAAAGGCTTATACAGCAGGACGGTGAACCAATGCACCCTAATTGGCCAATCCTCATTTAGGATCTACTGTAAGAAGGAAACTAAGTGAAGGATTAGTTAAAGTTAAGTCCAGACTATGGAGGATCTTAAGAAGGCCATTTATGCTTATAAACTCTGATTTAGTCTCATTTCCAGCTGTTACAAACATGTGATGCCAGCTTTTACTAGCATGGAGTGCTAGTCACCAAAGGGGAAATTTATTTTTCTATTTTGAAGTGGTCAGTTTGGATATCCTTAGCTTTATGAAATTATATTGTTATATTAAAACTGTATTTTCAGTTTACCCAGACAGTATTTGTCTGATATTAACGTTCTTACCATCTTTGTTTAACTAATCTGAAAAAGTAGCCACAAAAAAGTTGCTCTGTTTATATGAATGAAAAAAAAGTTTGAGAATCTTTTCTTCACTGTTTTTTTTTTTTCCAGGGTTACATCCGTCAGTGCCGAAAACACCCCGACATGTTCACAGAGGTGCAGCTGAGAACGATCTTCAGCAACATAGAAGACATCTACAAATTCCAGAGGCAGTTCCTCAGAGAACTGGAGAAGAAGTACAACAAAGAAGAACCACATCTGAGTGAAATAGGCTCCTGTTTCCTCATGCAGGTGAAACCCTGATCTTTAGAGATCATTGAGTGTCTCCCTGAATCATTTCTGGTAATAACAGACTGGTTCTCCTCCTCTCTAAAGGGTGAGGGCTTTTCAATCTACTCGGAGTACTGCAACACGCATCCCGCTGCCTGTGCTGAGCTGCAGCGTCTCATGAAGATGGGGAAATACAAACATTTCTTTGAGGCCTGCCGCCTCCTCCAGCAGATGATCGACATCTCCATCGCTGGCTTTTTGCTTACACCTGTCCAGAAGATCTGTAAATACCCTCTTCAGCTGGGAGAGCTGCTTAAATACACACCTAAAGACCACAGGTACCAAACTAGAGGGCAATTCAAATGGCTTATGATACAGGGCCTATTCATGCCCCTTAAACTTTTACAAACTAATTGTGTTTTCTTTGAAATGAAGGTAGCAACATGATTTTAAGGTGGAACAAAAATGTAATGGTTTAATTTTTCATGTTGGATCTCCTTGAATTATAAATACAGCTAATTTTTTTCTCGTAATTGTCTGAGAGCATAACTTTTATTTTTTGTCTTATTAAAATTCTGTAATGGATTTAGGTTCAAACTTACTTACTCGTAAACAATGCTCTGATCCAAACCATTGAAGGTTTGGTTGCATGTTTAGGATTGTTGTCCTGTTCATTTTCTTCCTCTTGCTGCCAACAGCGTGTTTTTGTTTACAAAAAAAGTTGCAACAGAAAAAGACTGTTAATAAAAAATGCTGCAATCACTGAAATGAAAGCAAAAACCTACAATTCACAAAACAGATCTAAAAAAAATAGTTAATGATAGTAAAATGATGTAAATGGTAAAAACAACAATAAACTCGATCCTAAAAAAAACAGAAGTTCTCCAGCCCACTAGGTGGAGTCTAACAAAGAACAAACTTTATCTGACCAGAGAGAAAGCAATACACATGTTACTAATCACAACCATGCAGGTATTTTCTAATACTGTAAGACTGTGTTTGAAAATTATATGAAAGATTACAAACCTCTGCTTACTTCCTTAAAAAAAAAAAAAACTGCATTAAAGCCTAACTTCCTGTTTGTTCAGAGGGTTTGGTTCAAATGGTTTGTTTTTTCTTCAAGTCCTTCTGTTGGCCAGGAGCATGTACATTTTGGGGCCCCAGTCTGCTCCTGTTTTTACTGTTGGCATAATTTTGTCTCTGTAGTTGCAGATTGTTATATCTTTATTTATTTATTTATTTATTTATTGGATTTTCTTAGGTGTTTTTAGTTTTTTTTTTATTCTATTTTTTAGCAATTGCAGCATTTCTTGTTTGCAGTGTTTTTCTGTTGTATTTGTTTTGTTAATTGTAGTTTATTTTGCTTTAATTTTTTGGGTGATTGCAGCACTTCTTGTTCTGTTGCATTTGGTTTTGGGTTTGCAGATTTTGGAGTTTGCATCACACATATATATATGTACCCTGTAGTGATTAGTGTAAAAAGTACATCATTAGTTACTGGGTTATATTTCTTCTTTTTATTTTGTAGGTTTTTCATTAAGCACACATCACCCCATTTGATTAGAAGTTAATGTTTGATTAATGTTTATTTTCAGGGACCACACTGGTGTCAGTGAAGCATACGAGGCTATGAAGAAGGTGGCCAGTTTAATTAATGAGAGGAAGAGGCGGCTGGAGAGCATCGACACCATTGCTCACTGGCAGGTTGCCATTTTGCACTGGGAGGTCAGAATGGCTGCTTATTTGATTTTTTTAAAGTAAAGGATGCTTCTGGACATGGTTTAAATGTTTCCACTCTGTGCACACACACACTGAAGGGGCCCGACGTGCTGGAGCGCAGTTCGGAGCTGATCCATTCTGGCGAGCTGACCCGAGCCGTTCGGCAGGGCAAGCTGCAGCAGCGAAGCTTCTTCCTTTTCGACCACCAGCTTGTCTACTGCAAAAAGGACGTCCTGCGAAGAGACCTACTCCACTATCGAGGGCGTCTAGATATGGATGAGATCGAAGTGTTGGACATTGCTGACGGGCGGGACTCGGACCTGGGCCTCACTCTGAAAAATGCTCTGCGGCTGCGGAACGCCTCCACCCTGGAGTTTGTGTGCGCACTTTGCTGCAGGAAGGTGGAGGACAAGCAGAGGTGGTTACAGGCCTTTGCCAAGGAGAGACAGAGAGTGAAGGAGGACCAGGAGATGGGTTAGTGGCTCTATGCTGAGTAACCATGCTTCATCAGCGGGAGAGGCAGTAGGTATTTTAATCTAAAAGTATTTTTTTTGTTTGTTTTTCCAGGAATAGACATCAGCGATGAACAAAGAAAACAGGCCATCATTAATGCAAGAAGACCAAAACATGGAAAGATCAAAAGTAAGGAAATGATTTATTCTGTTAAACCACATCCCAGTTTTAGATCCGGTTTAATTGTTTTCTTTATTTCCATCATTTTAGCCGTTGGTTATGCCGACTCTGTCCCGCCACACCAGAACCTGCCGCCCCTTCAGCAGCGCCACATCACCATTCCCACCAGCGTGCCTCAGCAGCAGGTGTTTTCCCTTGCTGAGCCCCCCAGGAGAAAGCCTTACCACCTGCTGTACAGCATCACCCGGAACACCTTCTTCAAGAAATGAGCCTCTTGGACTCTTTTTCTTGTTTTCTACGCTGAACCATCCCAAAAACTCACTGAACATGTTTTGTTTTTTTCCTGTTTGTGTCGAGTCTTGTTTTTGTGCCTCTGTGTGTTTTTCAATATATTTGTTTTTGTTGTGAAGCTCCTGAAATTCAAAGAGGCTTCAAAAAAGTGTTAAAATTCAGACCGTCGTTTTATTCTTGTTTTTGTTAAAAAATGCTGCTTCCTCAGAAAAACCCTGTTCCTTTTAACCCATTCCAACTCACAGGTTTATTTCTGATTATGACAACGATGTTTCGTCTGCCTTTATGTTCAATAATGTGGTTTTAGTGTTTTTGTCGAGTTTGTCAACTCTGAGCACAGCAGGATAAATTAACTGCTCACATTCATACAAACTGTGTAATAATGTAAATAAAACTGATGTACAAACACAAGTAATGCTTATGGGTGTCATCCGTTTGCTTCCGGTACGAGTTTTAAGGCTAGTAAATATTAATTGTTGTGGAGTTGGATAGCGATGGAGGATGATGAATGAAACCCTAGCTGCACCAACCAGGAGTAAGGGTGGAACCAAGTTCAGTTCACCTCTCTGCGGCTCGGATCTGGTTTCACACACCTGTCGGCTAAAGATCCAGACTGTTTCCCTGAAGCTCTTTTCACTGTAGAGTTATGCCCCAAAGTGAAGAGGAAAAAACAATGAGGATGAGATAATAATGGCTTGAATGGATATCTGTGCCATGGGCACGAAGCTGAAGGATACGGAGCAGACAAAAGGGATCAATGATCCTGGATCCCAACAGGATGATGCGAGCGTAAGTAGCAGACAGTTTTATCTTGGTGTTTCCATTCAGACCTAAGAACAATCTGGTAGCAACAGCGCAGATCTGTCAGCTGTGATCAGTAGGAAGAAGTAAATGAATGGCAATGACTGCCACGAAGCTTTCTTGTCTTCATGTTGTCTTAATAGAGTACGGAGTCATTTTTAAATGGAAAAGCATTTCTTGTTGTGAATAATAAGTTTCCTTTTCAGGGATTTGATATCTAATTGTCTTAAATTCTACAAAGGCTCTTTAGTTTAACAGAATTCTTCTTCATTAAGAAGTGTCATCCAATCAGCTGCAGGAAGGAAATCCCATCCCTGTGCTTTCATTTTCTATGCTATGATCAATAAACACTGGACATAAGATTCCAGTTAAACTATTACAGGTTTATACAGGAATGAGTAACTCTAATTTAATGCTTTTTAATGCCATCAACAAGTTTAAAGTATGTCTGAAGTACCCATGACTCTCATATATATATACGGTAATTTGCTTCATCATCTTTACTGTTGACAGACTGGGGCCATGTCCTGAATTCTTCGATTTCCAGCCACTTTTGTTGAAATTTTTATTTTCCCATTCTCTAGCTTTTTCTCTCCCTTGAGCTTCTTTTCCGAACATAAGGCTTTACGATCAACCGCAATCAATTCTGCGCAAATATATTGTGATACATCTGACCACATTGTTTTTATAAACTTCTTTTTTTAAATAAAGCATTTTAAATGCCACAATAATCACAATTAATGAACTTTAATGCCAATTCAGGCCTTAATTTAAAAAATAATGATTCAATGATTTTTTTAATGACCCACGGAAACCCTGTACTATTTTAGGTTTAAATTTTTTTCATCGTTTGTATGAACCTCATATTGATTTTGACCTTTTAATGATTTATTTGTGGAACATTTTTTCTATACAGTACAAATGTATTTTTGGCAATTCTTTTACCAAATGAGACCAGGATTGGACATTGCCGTGCTCTGATTTATATCCACAGCTCCACTTATATGTGCAAACATGTTCTAGAGGAAAGGTTTCAATCCTGCTTCCTATCTTCCTAAATTGGTTTGTTTCTGTCAGTGGGCTCCAACATTAAGCAGAACCATAACTAATCAGCAGGGCTCGGAAGATGGAAATTCCCGAAACTTGGTATTTATCTACTTTATCGACTCTAAACTAGTTTTAAGTGGGTCTTGAATTATTGCCCTGCTTTAACACCCGGTTGTGTCAAATTACCAACTATCTTTCTATTTTTTCGTCCATAAACTTGTAATGGTTCATTAACACTGTTAATAATCCTTAATAACCTTCTTCTGAGGGCAAAAAGACCAATTCTTTGTCTCTCCTAACTATAAAAGACAAAGGTAATTGTAAAAATGTCTTGTTAAATAATGGCAAACTGCAAAACCTGTGATTGAAAACATCAGTAAAAGAACAAAGGTCAGTATTTAAACACTACATCTGTAAGATTCAATATCTGTTTGACCTTAAAGCTCTTAAATAATTGCCTTTTTATAACACAACTTCTGCTTTTTCTTAATGCTCTCTGAGTTGTCTCTTTCACCCACTTGCCTGTAGCGTTTTTTATAATTTATCTTGAGAAGTTCAAATAATTAAGCTCATTGTTTCTCTGTCTTCTCTCTATCTGACTGTCACAGAGTTGATTTAACGGCTCCTAACTCTTCTCCATTCCAGTTTTGCTGCGAGCTCCTTTTCTGGGCCCGCAATAACCACTTTCAAATGCCAAATGCTGCTCATTGGATCGACTCCAGATGTTTTTCCTATTTTATAGGTGCAATTTTTCCTCCCATACTAAGATAAGGAACTTTTTCAGAAATGATGCACTTCATAAATTTTTACACAATAAGATTTCTTACAGTAAGTCTGGTCATCTCAGTGGAGTTAGCAATCATAAAAAAACCACAGAAATAATTTTAACCTATGAAGCTGAGTACGGAAAAACTGAAAGGGATATTTGGGTAAGATGTTTGGAATTTGGGAGGTTTTCAGTTTATAAAAGTTATATAGCAGCAGTTTAGCTGACCAGAAGCAATACAAGTTCACTTTATCAAAGTAAAATACCCTTTAAACTACCTCTTTTAAATAGCAACAGGATAAAATGATGTGAATTTCTAACCAGATTTACTATCAGAGGCTTAATGCCGTTGAATTTTGAACAGTCATAAAAGTTAATCTTGCTTTATGAAAAATGTCTTAGATAACTTGAGTTGTTCTTCTGTGAGAATCCATCCCTCTTGGATGGATTATGTGCCAGCTGCACAGTATGGAATGACACCAAATGAATAATGAATGTGCATTGGGTAACTTAATGAGCGCTGAGTGTTACATCTGATGGAGATTGTGTTGCTTTCAGTTATTCCCCCTTGCTGGCATCATTTTCAGCAGACACCAACTTACAGTACATTACTGCTGATGGAGCAACAGCAGCTGAATGGGAAAGCTTACCCTCATAAGGCATAGATCATAAATTAGTCTGATCATCTGAAAGGGAAGATCAGAGTAACTGAAGGGTTTCCTCATCCCTAACTTACGTCTATCCAAAGACACTTTTATGTTCATGTCGTATCATTTCAGCTCCATCTAGCATCTCCTAATTAAAATCTGGCCCTAATGGAGTTCCTATTGAAAGGTCAACAGAAATTGATTGCTGGTGTAAAGGTGGCTTGGGATTTATTAGATGGGAGTGGGACCCTTATTTTTCTGGCTGCAGATTGCAGATGTGTCTGTGGAGGTGGCCACTGTGGATCACACTCTCAGGAAGCTGCGCAGGATGTACAGGAAGACCAGGCGGAGGCCGAAGGGGCTCAAGCGGCTGTTGGCCTACCTGCTGAATGTGCCGCACATCACCATCATCATCTCAGCAGTGATGTTCGTGGTGGTGGTCATCATATGGTCACTGCTCTGGGTCTTTGTTTGTAAGTGATGGGATTCAAATGATGCATAAATCTTGAGTGATTTGTACAATTTCTAAATCCAGCTGGGAATTTTTGGTGTAAATTGAAAGGATGTTTAAAAAACGTCAGTTTTTTTCATAATGATCTTGGATCTTGAACCCAAGTCGGCCTCGGCAGATTGCCGGTCACACTGAACCTGGTTCTGCTGGAGATTTCTTCCTGTTAAAAGGGAGTTTTTCCTCTCTACTGTCGCCACATGCATGCTTAGTGTGAGGGATTGCATTCGAGTCAATGAGTCGATGCAATCAGCTGGGTTTCCTTAGAAAACTTTTAACCAATCTGATTGTATAATCTGTTTGAACTGTCTCTGTAAAGTGCCTTGAGATGACATGCATTGTGAACTGGCGCAAATAAATAAACAGAATTAAAATAGATTGATATGGTAAATGTGAAATACTTAGAGGGACATGTTCAAATATACTCATAGCTAAGTTACAGTAAGTTTTTTTCCTGAACTAATTTAAGAAAAACATATGTAGAGACCTTCATAAAACTAGTGAAATCAAGGATGTTTTAAAAGTGTTTGTTCTGGTACTATATTGTTAAATGTCTCCTGAAGTGATTTTTGTTTTAGTTTTAACAGACAGACTTCATCTAATCTTTTCAGTCCGCAGAGAAAGCTACAGCGGAGCGTATTTTGCCGGGATGTTCCGTGTTGCCAATGTGGAGTTCATCCCTGAGTACCGCCAGGCAGAGTCTCATGAGTTTGTATCCATGGCAACAAAAATTCAACATGTGGTAGGTGTTGGTGGGACTCTTAGGGGTTGGTGTTGAGGTGAGTGAGCTCACGGTTAACTGCTGGTGTCTCTCAGGTGAGCAGTGTGTACAGGACATCCTCAGTGGCCAGACTCTACAAGCAAGCTGTCATTTCAGACCTCAGGTACTGGTGCCTGTTATTCATCACTGCGGAAAGCTGTAGAGACGTCCCAATGGTGTTCACAGCTCATATCTTTGTCTTCAACCCCCAGTAGCAACAATAAGGGGGGAGTGTTGGTGCATTTCTGGATGGTGTTCATAGTCCCCCAGCTGAAAACCACAGCGATATGTGAGGAGTGCATAGAGGCCATTCTCAGAGACTCCATCCACACTAGCCTGAAGAACAGGTCGTCTGTGGGCTACCTGCAGGGACTTCCAGTGGATATGGACTCCATCCTCATCAATGGTGTGTTTTAGTGTAGATATAGATGTCTGTGTTTGAATCAGCCTTGCACTTTTGCTAAACTGTTTTGTTCTGTTACAGGTGTTCAGCGTTCAGATTACTCATCAAACACAGCAGGTAGTTCCTACACAGTCTGGAATAGTATGGGTTGGATTCAACAGACTTTATCGCACATCAGATTATGTTAAAATATTATCTATCTGACAATCTATCCATTTCTTTCTTTCTCGCTGTCGCTGG